CTGGAGCGAAAAGAAAACAAGCGTGCAGGAAAATTGGCAAGTGGGCCAGTGTCCACCCACTGGAGGCAGATCTGCAGGTGTGTGGAGGGTGCGTGAGGGGTCGAGGGATTCTGCTTTAACCCTCACCCTTCCAAAGGGAAAGGATGTTATCTATCCATTCATTCATTCACTCAATCGTTTGATGAGAAATTGTCCCTGCCAGATCCTGGGCTGGGTGCTGAGGACACTGGGTTCTGGGGACACATGACAAAGTCTGCTTGTCCTGTCTGGGGGGGTGAGAAGGCAGTAAAGAAGGAAATTCACAAAGAGATAGATAGATAGATAGATTTGCAAACTCTGATCAAAGCCACCTTCATTGCTATAGGGGCAGGAGGCTAAGGCCCAGAGAGGGACAGAGACAGCTTGGAGTCACACAGCAGGTCAGCAAAGGCACAGTACTGGGTTCCAGAGTAGACTTTCTAAACTCAGATCTGCCTGAGTTACTGCCCCTTCTCCTGCCCTCATGCCTCAGGATTAATAAAGCCCACAAGCCCGCAGTGGCTTGGCCTCCGCCCACCTTCAGCCTCATCCACCACTGCAGGGCCCCCATCCCTGCCAGCTGGCAAGGACTTCCGGAATTGGCCTTGGCCTCGTCCACCTCCAAGCTTTTGCTCACATTTGCCTCTGCCTGAAACACCTTCCCCTGTGCTTTTCTTCTTTGCTTTTTTGGGTAGGTTGCTTTTAGCTAACATTTATTAAGCATTTATCCCTGTACTTGGCATCGCAATCTTTTTTTTTCTTCTTGAGAATTGTGTGCATTAGAGATTATACCCATTTTGCAGGTGGAGAAATGAAGACTCATGGAGGTTAAGCAACTCACTCAGAGTAACACAGCCAGTATATGGTAGAGCCAAGATTGAAACCTGGATATGCTGACTCTAAAGCCTGCCCTTAGTCACCACCACCTGTCTGGTCATCCTCGCTCTCTGCTGTTGATGTGCTGTGTGACTCTGGGCAATTTGCTTCCCCTCTCTGATCCTGTCTGATTCTCAGTCTCTCCTTAGTAGGGTAAAAGCTGAAATGAGCTCTTTACCAGCCCATAATTTCTGGGAATATCTTGGGGGGCAGGGGGTGGAGTGTCTCAATGAGGACAAGTCTTCAAAGGCCATCACACTCCCTGAGAGCCTGGACTGGAGAGGTCTGGCTGCCCCTTCCCTGTCCCCACCCAGGGTTCTGTGGCGACCAGGGAAGGTCCTAGCTCATTGGCAGGTTTGTGCAGAAGACTAGCTTTCAGAACAGAGGATACATTGGTACATTTGGGATATCCACCCCAGGGCTCTGTCCCTCTGATATAAGGTAGGACTCCTCCTGCTCCGAATATCTATTTACATTCAGTGACCTACAAGGAAACACTTTTCTGCAATTTGGAGGAAGAAAACTTGCCTTAAGCAGAACTCTGTCTCTTCAGTGGGACAGCCTCTCCTAATCCTTGCCGGCTGTTAAGGTGTTAATGAATTTGGCTTATTAGGAGGACAAATGAGCCACCCTTTGACCCTGTAACTCCACTTCTCAGCATGACCCTGAAAACAATTGGAGCTGTGATCAGAGGCCCACAGGCTCCATGTCAGGTAGCAGGTGACGCCCTTCTTCCTGAAACCCTTTGTTCTCTGGGCTTCCCAGAACTCTCCCTCCTGGTTCTGCTCCTTCCTTGCTGGCTGAACCTCCTCTAACATCTTCCCATTAGAAGGCCCTCGGCTCATACCTCTCTCTCCAAGGTTCTGCTGTCCTAGGTCTGTGATGACATCTGACTTTCAAATGTCCCTCTTTGGGGACCTACAGCCCTGAGCATCTGATGGCATCTAAACTGGTCACATCTATAACACATGTTCTCTTGCATCTCCACCCTGAAACCTACTCCTCTCCAGGCCTTTCCAGCTTGGAAAACAGCTCCACCATCCATCCAGCTGCCCATGTCTAAAGCTGGGCCTCACCTTAGGTTTTCTTCTCCCTCATCCCCAACCCCCACCATCCACAGGCCTGTCCACTCTACCCTACTGCCTTCCCTCCAGGCCACCCTGTGGCCCAGGCCGCCAGTGCTGGCCTAGCTTAGAATCTCTGCTGCTGATCCTCTGGACCCTACAACCATTCTCCATCATTTTTAAAGAAAATCAGATCTTCACTCACTTCTGCTTAAAACCCTCCAGTGGATTCCCCTTGCACTTAGGATGAAATCCAAACTTTTGATCTTACCACCTCTTTTCATCACCCCCAGCCCTGCGGGCCTTTTCTCTGATCCTCAGATATGCCAACCTCATGCCCACCTTCGCCAAAGTCCACAACTAGTGAGCACTCAGTGTTAAAGGTATGCATTCAATGCTCGTGGGAAACTGAGGCACAGAGGATTACTCAGCCAGCTAGAGGTCACACAGACTGAATGCATAACAAACCGCAGGGCCTTTGCGTTGGTGGTTCCCTCCGCCTGCAATGTTCTTTCCCCCAAAGTTCACAGGACCTACTCCGAGTGATGCCAGTTCTCTGCGCCAATGTCACCTTCTGGCTGCATTCTTTTCACCATCCACCCTTTTATAGTTTTTGAATTTTGAGTCACATGATTGTATTAGCATTTCAAAATAAATACTTTTTTTAAAAGAGTGTTATGAATCACGATAAAGAAAGACTGTTAAGGGAACAAACCCGGTGATGAGACAGTATGGACCAGTGGGGTCCCATTTTTGTTAAAATAATTATAGTTTAGAAATTGCTTGGAAGTTATCCCCTAAATGGTAACTGTCATTAGCTCGGGTGGCCAGGCTGGAGGTGACTTTTATCTTCTTTTTGCTTATATGTATTTTATAATGTTTCTCCTGGGAACATGCATAATTAGAAAAAAGAACGAACAGCTCCTACCACACTGGGTGGCTGCACCTCAGAGCTCTTCTTGACCAATTCTGTTATTTAGCAGTTGTGAACACTGAGGCCCAGCAAGGGGCCAGAACTGACGTAGAACCAGGAATGGCTCCCCAGAAGTTCCTGGGGTCCCCAATCATGGCCAAGAGGGGCCCTCGAAGGACACCAGGCATGTGGACGGGGCCTTGTGGTGAGCCAGGCCACTGAAAGGCTGACTTCAGGCCTGCCTCCTCAGCCCGCCTCTTCCCTGAGGGGCCTGGATGCTCTCTGAGCTGGTTAAGGTCCTCTCTGCTAACAGGTTAAGATTTACCAAGCCTTCTCCTTGCCAGGCGCTGTGCTGAGCCCATTTTATAAGTGAGGAAACTGAGGACTTGAGGGGAGGCATCACCTGCGCAGGTCACCAGCTAGCAAGTGGCCAAGCAAGGGCTTGGCTCCGTCCCAGCTCCATTTGATTTCTGTGACTACAGATTTAGCCCCCCTGACCAAGCTGGGGAACCCCTGGCTAATTTTTTTCACTTGTAATTTGGATTTTCTTAACTATGTAATAGTTAACGTGAGTTCTTGCTAGACATCAGCACTGTACAGAGACCTTTGCACACATCTGTCTCATTGAATCCTCACCCACCCGGTGAGGAAGATTCTGTTCTGGGACCTATTTCTCAGGTAGGCAACAAAGGCCTAACACAGTCATCCACAGGGCTCTGTAATACTGGGCCCCAGATTCCACCCCCAGGCCACTCTTGGACCCTGCCCCCACTGGCCCTGTGCCCCATGAGGTGACCTGGTCACTAGTCAGCAGAGCTCTGGCCTTGAGCTGGCCCTTACTTCAAAGGGAGGCCCTGCTGCCGGTGAGGGCCCTGTGAAACGCCAGTACTTCCCAGACCCTGGGGGGCTGCCCTCAATTCTCTCTCCCCTGGTGAGGGGACCTAGACCATGTGACCCTGGGCAAGTCACCTCATCTCCCTAGGATCCTGGCCTATAAAGTAAGGAGGCCTAGGTGACCTTAAAGGAGCCCCTGCTCCCAAACCCTGGCATGTGGAGCCGGCCACCCAACCTCTATTGCTGGGCAGATGGTGCCACGTGTCTGGAGGGTCTGGGAAGGCGTGGCCTGGCCTGGTGTGCAGCACCCTGGAACACTAACTGAGCTGCCACAGCCTTGCATTCTTGCCTGGGCTTCAGACTGAAATCCTGAGAGGGAGAAAGGCACCATTTCATGGTATCCATTCAACAGAGGAAAAAACCGAGGCTTGGTGAGGCTAAGCAGCTTATCTAGTGTCTGCCAGGACGTGAACCTAAATCTCCTCGCCCGTCCCCTTGCAGCCCAGCCCGGGGTTCCGATCTCCAGTTTCAGCCAGTCTCCGCCTGAGCGGAGCTGGAAGGCTTCCGCTGCTGGCCAGCCTCCTTGGTGAGTCTCCTCACCTCACTGAGCCATGTTGCCTCATCTGTAAAGCGAGGGTTGCAGGCGTGCCCACCTTAGAGGTCTGGATGAGGCTAATTGAGAGGGCGATGGGCCTGAATCTCCAGGTCACAGAGCGAGGGCTCCACCATGTGAGTCCACGTTAGAAATCTTTAATGTGCTAAGTCCCTAACAGCTCTTAACCACACCTACCAGATCTATAAAATGCAGATAATAGTCTCAGATCTGTAAAATACAGATAAAAATGGGCACTGGGCCAAGCAGGCAGTAAGCACCTGCTCAGTGTGGTCATTATTATTATCATTATTAAAATGAGACTAACAGTCCTTCCTCACCGAGAAGTCCTGAGAGTTAAATCAGATGAAATCTAGTCTACAGATCATGTAAACAGGCCTGGCACACAGGAAGACCCTCACGGTAGCCTCTGCCACTACCCTGGTTCTGCTCGAGAGACCCTCCTTGAGAGCCTCCTCACCACCCTGCTGGATGGGGGCTTCCGTGGAGCCTTGACCACTCCAGGCTTTTAGAACAAGGCTTATCAATGACAAAGCTTTTCCCTTGGGGTTCCGCCTTGTGGGGTTATTATCGTTGCCTATGGCCTTGGACTCCTGAGGGCTGTTTCCACTTATTTGTACCAAAGAAAGAACTGAGGCTTAGAGAGGCAGGCTACCTGCCCAAGGTCGCTGTGTTCTCTTACCTGGAAGGAGGCAGATGTAGCCGAGAAAGTCCCCCTGGATGGGCCTGGCTGCAACATGGTTGCTTCCCGCCACAGCTTCTTGGCCACTGGCCAGGAGGTAGCCAGGGACCTGTCACCTTTCATCCCTGGCCTTCCTGCTCCCCAGCCAGGCAAGGCACAAAGTGATCACAGTGTGGGTGCCTCTGCCAAGCCAAGCCCGTTCTGCCTGTGCTCCAGCTGGGCCAGAGATGGGAGGGGGAGTTGACAGGATACCTAAGACCTGCCCTTCTCCCCCTCCCCACCCCCACACCCAAGCCCTCCACCCTCCTCCAGTGTGCAGGGAGGAAAGCCTTACCTGTAGGTTCCTGCTCTCATCCTGGGACCTGCCCAGGGAACTCGTGTCCTCCCTGGAGGTTTCCGGAATGCAGGACTAGTCAGAATGTCTGTGAGTTAAAGAACAACTGCGGGAGGTTAGAGGTGCAGGCAGGGGAGGGGACTCAGGAGAGGAGCACTTGGGAGACTTCCAGCCCTTGGGTTAACTTTATCAGGCCTCTCTTATCACAGCCCATCCCCCGTTACCCTTTACCGTTAGGGCCCTTTTGCCCTGGCCCTGCCAGGCCAGGATTCCTAGGGAGTGGGGATAGGATTCAAGGGTGCCCTTGACCTAAGGAGTCTGAGCCTGCTACGGAGAGAGGCTGTGTTTCACCAAATCGTTTGGTCAAAAAGAAAGAAGGCAGGCCACAGACCCATTTCCTGGGCTGCAGGGCCAGTCCATACAAGCTGGTAGAGACTGGTAGAGACTCTTCCTGTTTACCCACCTCTTCAGTCCCCTGCTCCCAGCTGGCTAACTCACTCCGGTCTGAGAGATTCACAGGTGTCAGGCACTACCCTAGGTGCCTCAGGGTCATGACCCCACAAGTCCTGCCCTCTGGGATCTTTTGTTCTGGGCCATGCACTTTCCACTACAGACTGTGATGACACCCCTGTCAAACCAGGGCTGGAGGCTGACGCGGGACAGACCCACGCCTGCCACTTGTCCTGGCCTCCTCGAGGGGTGTTCTGTGGGAAGGTGAGGTGTAGGGGGAGCTCGGAGCCAGAAGCTCCAGGGTGTAGGGCCTGCTTTGGGTGTTTTAAAATATGATTTACTTGCATTAATAAAAATATTAATCCAGGAAATATGAGAAAACACAGAGAGGCATAAAAGACCGAACCACTCCAAATAACCATGGGTAGTTTAATGTGATTCCTTGCATTTTTCTTATAAAATGAGCTCAAGCGGTAGGTATTTTCCACCTATTGTCTTTGGAACGTCTTTCTAGCGCAGTGTATGTACTTCTACATCCTTCTTCATTGCCCAGCATTTAATCCTAGGGCCCTGCCCTGTCCATGCTGCTCAGATCCCAGCAGCGTGGGCATTGCCCGCCAGCTTGTTAGACGTGCCCCACCCAGACCTTGAGTCAGGGTTTGGAGTGCCCTGAAGTTGGAGAAGAGCTGCTCTAACTTATTTAATCGGATGGACGCTTTGCTTTTCCAGCTTTTCCACATGCAGGGCTGCCCTGAACAGCGTGGATGCATTGGGCAGAGGTAGCAGAAAACAGGTGAGGGGTGCAACCTTTGAGGCTACAGCGTTGGTGTGGTCAGTGTACACTCGGCCACATGGCCCTTCTGTCTATGGGACAAGAAACAACATGCACCCTCGCTACTGGGTCATTCCATGAAGTCAGGGCTCTAGTCTTAGACCTATACAAAGACTAACTTGGGGCCGGCCATGTGGCTCAGTTAGTTAAGAGTTGGCTTAAGAGCGCGAGCTCTGAGCAACAGGGCCGCCGGTTCGATTCCCACATGGGCCAGTGACGCTGCGCCTCAGCTGAGCTGTCGCTGAGCTGCCAACAGGTGGCAGGATGGCTCTGCTGGTGTAACAAGATTGCCTGATCGATGGTGGGCTATGCCCACCTGCAACTAAGACTGAACTCAGCACCTTGAGCTGAGCTGCCACCCGGATGGCTCAGTGGATAGAGCACGTGCTCTTAACAAGGCTGCTGGTTTGACTCCCCCATGGAATGGTGGCTACGCCTACCCGCAACTAAGATTTGAACACAGCACCTTGAGCTTAGAGGCCACGAGCTGCCAACGGGAAACCAGATGGTGACTGGCGCCTCCACAACGAAGACTGAAAAACAACTTGGCTAGTCCTCCTCCCCAATACTGTTCCCCTTCCCCAATTCCCCAATAAAATCTAAAAAAAAAAATACTAACTTGATCCCTAATCCTTCTTTTCATGGTAGATGCTACTTCTTTTTTTTTTTTTTTTTTTTAAAGATTTTTATTGGGTAATTGGGGGGGATGGGAACAGTGCTGGGGAATTAGGGGAAGGGGAACAGACAAGTTGCTGTCGTTTTTTGTTCTTCAGTCTAGTTGTGGAGGACGCTGCTTCACTGGCCCAAGTTGGCACCATCATTGCGCTCTTCCCTGGCGAGGCAGATCAGTTGCCGGCTTCTGGACGGCCGCTCACTGCGGCTGCTGGCCGCTCACGCTGGCTGCTGGCCGCTCATGCTGGCTGCTGGCTACATACGGTAGCCCATGGCAACCCACTGCCACAGGGACTGCAGCCTATGCCGTCGCCAGCAACTCACGGCAGCCCAGCTCCAGGTTGAGCTGTTGTTCAGCATCTTAGCTGTAGAGGGCAGTGTCACTGGCCCTCATATGTGGGATCCGAACCGGGGCCCTCTGGCATCCCAAGCGAGCTCTTAACCATCGCGCCACTCGGCCGGCCCAGTAGATGCTACTTCTTATCCTCAGTTCCCTTCCCCCCAGGTTCTCCAGGGATCCTGCTGCTCCCGGTGGGGTTTCAGTGGCACTCCACTCAAGTGGCTCTTGCCAAGGTCACCACTGACCTCGACCTAAACCCAATGGCCAATCCTCACTCCCACCCTTTGGACCCACCAGCAGAACTTGTGTGGGTGACCACCCCTTCCTCCCCACTCTGTCCCTTAGCTTCTGGAACCCTCTCCCTCTAGTTTCTTCATCTGTTGTTTCCCCCAATTCTTGGATGACATCTAAACATTGGAGTGCCCCAATGACTATGCCCCGCTTCTCCCCTCTTCCAGTGACTCAATGAGGTACCAGGCTGTACAACTTTCTCACAAAAAATTTCTGTAAGTGGAATTGCTGGGTCCAAGAATATGAACCTTTTATAGAAGCTTTTCATCCTTCAGAGGAAAAGTTCACACTTTGAACAATTAAACCAGCCCTGCAAGTTTTCCATCAGTTACCTGTCATTCAAATCCTATCGACTTGATCACCATAGGACACCTTGCGTTTTTGGATTTCTTTGATTACTAGTTGTACTGAGTTGAATAGGGTCTCCCCAAAGTTCATGTCCACCCAACCTCAGAATGTGACCTTATGGGAAAAGCTCTTTGTAGATATAATTGGTTAAAATGAGGTCATACTGGCTCAAGGTGAATGCTAAATCCAATGACTGGTGTCTTTGTGAGACCAGGAGGGTAAGAACACCATGTGAAGATGGAGAGGGGACTGATACAGCAGGACAAGGAACACCAGGACTGCTGGCAGCCACTGGCAGCTAGGAGAGGCACGCAACCAATTTTCCCTGAGCCTGCAGAAGGAACCAACCCTGCCCGCATCTAGCTTTCGGACTTCTAGCCTCCAGAACCAACAGAACAGATTTATTTTAAGCCACACTTGTGGTAATTTGTTACGGCAGCCCCGAGAAACTAATCCTCAAGAATTTTTTTACTTTCACCGGCCTTTTGTGAAGCTGTGATCTGGGTCAATTTTCACAAGCACAGTCCTGGTGAAAGATTTGCCAACCCTCCCTTTCCTGGAATCCTTCAAGAGGCCTCCACCTGTGACAGAATGTAGAGCTTGCCTCAAAAACGCCTGTCCCCAACTTTAGACCCGGGATGCGTTGTTCCTCTAAGGGTCCCAGCTCTGAGCCCTCAAGATCCAACCTTCACACCAACTTCTGTCCTATCCCCTCACCACTTTAATCCAAGCTATTGCCACCTTCCCAAGCCCTTGTAGATCCTTCAACTCATTTTCTCTCTTTGCTTCTGTATGCCAACCCCTACTCAGCTACTGAAGGACCTTTGCAAACTACAGCTCTCTTGCCATTCCATTGAGAACCTTTTGCAGCCTCCCGTGCTCATGAGTCAAGTTTGAACACATCTGTCATCTACAGCAGACTGCCCACCTGGGGCACCACTGCAGACGCAGCTCACAGCACCCTCTCCAGGTTCCCCTTTCTCATCTGTCTTCCCGCTCCCTCTGATACTGAGTGGAGAAGAGATAGGGAGCTCCATGGAGCCTGACCTTTGGGGAACATGATGGCAAGTGTTCTGGAAGGTACTGGAGAAGGGGAAAAAAATATGAAATTCCTGTATAATTATGTCAGGAGACATGAACTGGGATGAAGAAACAAGTTAATTTTGATTAAATAAAATTTCAGGGCCAGCCGAGTGGCGCGTTGGTTAAGAGCTGGCTTGGGATGCCAGAGGGCCCTGGTTCGGATCCCACATATAGAGGCCAGTGACACTGCCCTCTACAGCTAAGATGCTGAACAACAGCTCAACCTGGAGCTGGGCTGCTATGAGTTGCCAGCTATGGCATAGGCTGCAGAGGGGCTGCCGTAAGTTACCATGAGTGGCCGGCAGCCAGTGTGAGCTGCCATGAGCGGCTGTCCAATGGCCGGCAACAGATCTGCCTCACCTGGGAGGAGCACAATGATCACAATACCAACATGGACCACTGAAGCGACATTCTCCACAACTAGACTGAAGAACCAAAGGACAGCAACTTGTCTGTTCCCCTTCCCCGATTCCCCAACGCTGCTCCTTCCCCCAATTCCCCAATAAAATCTTAGGAAAAAAAACAAAACATTCAACCGTGAGGCCCAACCTGTTGGCTGTATGGTTAAGAGCTGGGAGTCTGAACACAGAACAGAGCACACAGCCACTTACTGAAAAAAGTCAACTTTAATTATAACTGGCCAAACTTTGTCCAGGAATGTCTCTAAACAACCGAATATCAGAAACACGATAAAATTCTCCTATTGAAGAAACCAAATTTTTGCCAGCCCCGGTGCTTCTGAGGGTCAGGCCAAAAGCAGCCCATTTCCGAAGCTGGATGTCCCCCACTCAAGTTTCTCATCCCAACAGGAAGGTTGGAGATGGGTGAGGGACCTGTCCCCTCTTCCCATCATGCTGAGAACTCTTAAAGAGTCACTGATGGGGTGCACCTCTCTTCCCACCCCATTCCTGTCCTAAGGTAAATGGAGACCCTCTGGGCATCAACCAGAAAGCCAGGGAACCAGGTGAGGCAGCCCCAGTGCCCTCCTGGACTTCCAGCCAAAGCTTTACTCCAGTCCATTCAGCTGGCATTCCCAGTGCCCAGGGTGGGGATTAAATAAAATACGCACTAGAGAAAACACTCAAATGCCCCATAATCTCCACAATGTGAGTCACAAAGCAGAAGAAAAAATAAACAAGCGCCCCAGTGAAAAGCAGCAGCGGCTGGCCCTCAGAAGACGCGCTCGAACTCCGTCTGGTTGGTAGTGGTGGGATTTCGGCTCTGGTTGGTGGACTGCTGTGTGATCTGGCTGCCCTTTCGACGTGGTGGTGCCAGGTACTCAAACATAGATGTCAGGTGGGTGGACAGCATGCCCTTGAGGTCCGAGGGCATGGGGTCTGACCAGAAGAAGTCGTGGTTGAGGGCGTCGTCACTGTCAATGCGCTGTGCGGGATCCAGCACCAGCAGCTTGTCGATGAGGTCCAGCGCGTAGGGGTCACGCACATAGGCCTTCAGCCTGTCCTTCACCTTCCGCTTCTGGCCCTTGACCAGGTCCAGTTTCTCAAACAGCTCGTACTTGTCCACATTTGGCCACACCTGGAGCGGGCATGGAAAGAGGATCAAGTTAGCTCAGCGGGTGCGTGGCCTGTCCATTGGTCAAGCACCCGATGGGGACTAAAACTTCTCCATTCAGATGCTCCCAGGCCACGCCTGGAGGGCCAACTCCACCCCTCCAAAGTGAAGCAGCGGTGACCATGTATCTGGCACATCCCGAGTGCTGGGCCCTTTCACATAAAATGCCTGGAATATGTGCGCCAAGGCTGACACAGGCTTCACAGAAGACAAACTCAGCTCTGGGATGCGATGTTCAAATGCTTTGCCCAAGGCCACAGAACTAAGTGATGATGGAGCTAAGAGCCTGTGTGGCTTAAAGAGCAGGCCCTGTCCCTCCACCAGCCACCTCTATAGAGCTTTCCTTCTGTTCCACTCCCCACTCCTCCCCTGCCAGAGAGACCTGTGCATCCTGCAGGGCCCAAGGGCCCAGGGAGCCTGGCCACGCACCTCAGGGGTGATGGAGCCACAGAGCTGGCTGATGAGGGCAAGCTGGTGCTGCTCCGTGTTGCCCTGCATGATAGGGCTGCGGGTCCACATCTCCGCCATGATGCACCCAGCACCCCACAGGTCAATGGGAGGGCCGTAGTCCCGCTCCCCTGGGAAGAAGAGCGCACCAGGAGTGCCCCTTGAGCCCGAGGGCCTCCTGAGACGCAGTGCCCCGGGGCCGGCGGCTCAAGAAGCCCTGGCAGTGGGGGGCTGAGGCCAGGTTAAGTGCCTAGCCCCTGCCCCCTTCTGCCCACTCAGGAGTCCTCACCGAGCAACAGCTCTGGGGGGCGGTACCAGAGCGTCACCACACGGTTAGTATAGCGGTTGGGCTGACTGTTCTTGGCCAGACTGAAGGCCCGGGCCAGTCCAAAGTCTGCCAGTTTCAGGACCCCATCTCGGGTGATGAGCACGTTAGCCGCCTTCATGTCCCTGTGCAGGATCTGCAATAGGGCAAAAGTGAGGGCTCAGTCAGGTCCCCAAGGGTCCTTTAGCCCAGCTGCCCAGCAGTGGGAGTACGGGCAGGCCAAGCCACAGTCTCCCTCCCCACCTTGTTCCTGTGGATGTAGTAGAGGCCATTTAGCAACATCTGCATGACCCTCTTGATCTCAGACAGTGTGAACTTGACTAAGACGTTGCTCAGCAGCCCCGCAAGGTCATGCTCGCAGAAGTCAAACACCAGGTATATACTGCCTTTGCAGCGGTTATAGGGGGAAGCTGAAGTGGGAAGAATGGGGGAGGAGGGGCAAGAAGAAGAAAGTAAAAAACCCCATAGACAACTCATTTTCCCACAACCAGCTCCTACCCCTCTCCAACCCACTGACACCCAGCATCCATCTGCGGGTTCCTTCCCTGGTAAAACATTTCTTGAGTGCATCCTCTGGGCTGAGTGCTGTGACGGGCCCTGGGGAAGCACCAGCCACGATGAAAGGACCAGAGAAAGCAGTCACATTGGTATGTATGCCTGGGTTAAGAGGGTGCCCAGTTCTAACTTTGCAAACAAAGCCTTAAGTTCTAAGCCTCATTTTCTCCATTTGAAGAGGGAGGGCAACAACATTCAAACGACTTACCTTTAGTTCGACAGATCTCAATCAAGTTGACCACATTCTCATGTTTTAGAAGCTGCAGGATCTTGATTTCCCGCAGGGCAGTAATGGGGAACTGGGAGGGGTAAAGAAAGGAGAGGTCAAAAGTGAAAGCACACTGCAGACCAAGGAACTGGCCACGGGGTCTATACTAAAGGGCACAGGTTGGGAGGCACAGTAAGAGCACAGGCTCTGACATCAGCTATCTCAGATGCCTTACTTGTAAAATGGGTGTAAAGCAGTATGCACCCCTCAAGGAGTTGGTTTGAGAGAGTGAATTGAAATAGTGATGCTTAACCACTTCATTATTGATCACTAAATGCTCCCTAATTTCTTCAACCTTTAAGTTTTAGCTCTGTGCCTGTGCTGAACTTGCTGAGTGGGAACACAAATGACCATTAAGAAATTTCCTTGCTAAAAAGTACATCTCTGGAAGCTGGACTAGAGCTAAGATGGGGTGCGAAAGGGGACTACTCCTTTTCAGTTGAGTACTAGTCACCCTTTTAAAGCCATTGCATGTATTTTCCTTTTGCATTAAGCAAAATTAAATGCTAAGGAAAAAGTGGTTTAATAAAGGCTTTCTAACTTCGCAAGCCAAAGTGCACTCAGTGCAAGCATGAGCTCCCTCTCCTGGCCCCAGGCCTGTATTTGCCTAGTATTTGCCTAAGAATGAAATGCTTTAAACCAAATGCTTTAAAACATCTGAACTGAAAGGTTTAATATGGAAGTCAAATTCCCTGGGCTATGGACATTCCCAAGCTCCTATACATAAACTGATCCTTAACACGTGAGTCCTAGAAGCAGCAGGATGGAAACCCACGTGCCCAGGGGAGATGGCTGGCCCACTGGCCCACCCAACCCATACTCACCCCCTCCTTCTCGTTCTCCATCAGTACCTTCTTCAGAGCCACTTTTTGGCCGGTCAAGCGGTGCTTTGCCTTAAACACCTCCCTGTAGGCCGAGAGGGGGACCCAAAGGGTTCATCAGGCCGTTTTCGCATGGCCCGCCCCTCCCCCTTCAGAGGAGGAGGGCAGGAAAGGGACTCCCGTGCAGGGCCGAGCCTGGTACCTAGGGCAGTGGGCTACCTCACCACCCGCTATCTGCGATCCCTCTCCCAACCTCTACTTCCTCCCCTCAGTCTCTTCTTTTCAGTCAGGCGTCTCTCGGAGAGATCCTACTCCCCTCACAAGCTCCTCTCTGCAATCCCTGTCCGTTCCCCACCATGGGCCTCAGGCTCCTCCCCGCCAGCCAGCTCCGTCAGGCCCGGGCAGGCCGCGGTGCGGCCTAGGGAGACGAGGAGGGGACAAGTCTAGGGCCAGGTGGCTCCCCAACCACCTCTGGCCTGGCCCTAGGCGTCCCGACGTCGACCCTGAGGGGTGCAGGCCCAGGGCACCGGGTCCCTCGGGGCCCATCCTTACCCAAAGGTGCCTTGGCCGATCTTAGCGAGCTTCTCATATTTGGACACCTCATCACAAAAGGGGCACTCCACCGAATCGTACTGCTTTGCCATGGCCGCCTCTAGCGCGCCGCCGCCGCCCCCAGCCGCCGCCGCCGCCGCCGCTCCCGCTCCGGGTCCCGCCGCCGTGCTCCAGGCCCCTCCGCGGCCGCGCCACTTCCGCCTCCACGGCCACTTCCGGCCTCGAGGCGCCGACCCCGCCTCTTCCGTCCGCCGCCCGCCGCCAGGCCCCCTGGGACTTGTAGTTCCCGGGAGGCCAGGAGGAACCGGAGCTGCAGAGGCGCCTCCGCCGCCACCGCTGCCCCCACCTCCGCCGCCGCCAGTGCTGGCGGCGGCCCCGATTGGGGGCGCGGGAAGCCGTGGCGCCGGGGCTGGGGCTCGGGGCGGTGCGTCCCGCTGCATTGGCCCGGGCCGCCGCTGCTGCCGAAGCCGCTGCCGCTCTGGCGTCCGATCCCGGGCCAGCCGCAGTGCCCTGCTCCTCCTCCTCCGACGGCGCCGCCTCCGCCGGGCTGCGCGGGGTGGCGGGCGGGGGGACAGCCCCCGAGCCGCGACCTGGGGGCTCCCTGGCCGGGCCCGGGGCCGGGGCAGCCAGGCGAGGGGGCGAGACGCGAAGAGCCGACGAGGAGGCGGCCCAAGAGCCCGGGAGGGGGCGCGTTATAAAGGGGGAGGTGCCCGGGCCTCGCCCTCCCCTC